ATATATATGTAAAGCGCTGCGTAAATTGACAGCGCTATATAAGTACCTGTAATAAATAAATAATAAATACATCAGTCCCTAATCCTCAAGGAGTATACAAGCTAAGGTCCCTAACTCTCAATCAAACAGTCACTTGTGGTTAAAATTTAAAATCAATTTTCAGTGTGAACAAGGACATGTGTAAAGCCTGTTCATATCCTGCAGGGAGAATCACTGTGATTCCAAATCATGGCAGAATGTGTGATGTGTGTTTGGGTACCATTATTCTTTATTGGCACCCCAAATGTAATGCGATTCTGCCGTGATTGTTGTGCATTTAAAAATCACATCAAGCTTGTAGTCGTAAAAAGGGAACAGGAGCTTCTTTTGTGCAATAAATGCACATAGGGCAGCCCATTGAAATTAATAGGCTGCCCTATGTGTGACACATGAAATCACACAACAAAAATGGCGATATGTGATAGCGTTCTGAAAGTTTGATTACCTGAGTTTGGCTTGCATTTGAAACAGGGGCGGACTGACAACTTATGGGGCCCCTGGGCAATAGGGGATCATGGGGCCCCTGTGTCCTTGCCAAAACTCGAAAAAGCCTATGAAATAGGTACCAGGGGCATCTCATGTGGCCCCCTACTGACCCCAGGCCCTCAGGCAGTGCCCGAGTTTCCAAATGGTCAGTCCACCCCCCCTGGTTTGAAACAAACATCAAATGCAAGTCATCAGATTTCCATTTCCAGCAATGATGTAATGTCAGTGACAGTGCTGAAATGTTTGACCTGCTTGACATTATGCTGCATTTCACTAAACATAGTATGTACAATTGGAGATTCATTTGCAGTGCAGGCAAAAGCAGATTAAACACAGCCTTTTGTTTTGTATGGATGACTTTCAGTTGTGCTGCATTCAATCACACATTTGACAACAGTGTCCATCTATACTAAAGGTAGAAATACACGATTAGAAAATCGACCGATCGGTCATTCGTTGACCGAGAGGCGTTCGTTTTTGGTTCAAATCGTGGCCCACATTAACCCCTTCCCACCGGCGCTTCCCAGCCCTTTAAGAGTTTCAGACGCTGGGAGGTGGGGCGGGTGGTGCGTGGTTTAGGGATCATGTGACCGCCGTGACGTCGTCACGGAGGTCACATGATCGGGAAAGGCCCCGATCGAAAGAGCAAACCGGGGCCTTTCCGTGAGTACCGGACATGTGTGCTGGGAGTGCGCAGGGCGCGCGCTCTCAGCACATATGTTTTTTTCTTACCTGAACGCAAATGTGCAGCTGCTCGGCATCTAGGCCCAGACACGGGAGGCTGCACTTTTGTGTGCGGCTGGCGGGAAGGGGATAACCAATCTAAAAAAATAATTTGTCGGGCAATACGTAGTGTTGACGTCTTCCCTACAAGTGGAAGTGATGCAGTGTGCGTGTGACCTTGTAGCCACACCCTTTTGGCCAGAACAAGCGATATACACAACAATTAACAGCAATGAGTATAATATAGTTTATTACATTATCTATAAACATAAATAGTGATACATAAAATATAATATACATAATTCTGGTTTCATGATCTCATTAGGCCAATCTACTTTTAACATTTAGATTTTTCGTTTGTGTTTACGAAGATTCCTTGGACATAAACATCCGAGTCATCTTCTGTTTCCGCTCATGCGTGATAGCGCTTGACAGATTTTTTTCGTACGACCGTCATACCACCGCATAGAAAATCGGTCGTTCATATGCGAAACAACAAAATTTTTCACTGTTGTTCAAATGGATTTTTTCGTTCACAATATCGTTATTGCTGTTAAAACATCCTGCTCATCAACAAAGTGGTTCCGTGAAATTTTTCGGACAATTTGCTTATCGTATGTACGGGGCATAAGGCTACCATGCATCTCCATTTCCTGGGAACAATCCCTGAGGTGAGTGGTTTGTTCCCATGAAACGACTGTCCCTGGAATAGTCTCCAGAACCATGGCAGCACAACATAAACCTTATAGAGCACAGATGCCAAACAAACAGCCACACTACAGTCCAAAATGGTACTATTGGAGCTGCCAGCACATGCACCTCCAGTGACAGTGCGACTGCTGAGTTGGCCCTTGCGCTTTGCAAGGTTTATTCTACACTGCTGGCTGCCCAGAGATGCTGTCGCAATACCCATTGTCAATGTCAACCCATTCTATGAAGGATGGATGCCAGACATTCATGTGGGGGTAATGAGTCACAACCAGTGAGCTACCAAGCCAAAGGATGAGATATTACAAATATACTTCAGCTGCACTTATTACAATGCAACCTGTGCATTACTTGCTGCTGAACTGACCTCAGCTCTCTGTTATTGCTGATCTGGCCATTGCTATCTCTGCATGACTTACTCCTGACCTCTGCTCTCTGTTATTGCTGATCTGGCCTTTGCTATCTCTGCGTGACTTACTCCTGACCTGACCTCTGCTCTCTGTTATTGCTGATCTGGCCTTTGCTTTCTGTCGTAACCTGACATTTGCTACCTCTGTAACATTTACTCCTGAACCGACGTCTATGTGACCTACTCCTGATCAGCACTTTGCTCTATCTGCTGGACTTACTCATGATCTGACCTCTGTTTTCTCTGTGTTACTTGCTCCTGACCTGAGCTCTCTGCAATACCTACTCCGGACCAGAATTGTGCTGTTTCTGCATTACTCTTTGCTGACCAGACCTCTGCTTTCTCTGAGATACTCACTCTTGACCTGACCTTTGCTCTCCCTGTGTGGCTTAATCCTGTCCTGATCTCTGCTCTCTCTGTATTACTTGGTTCTCGCCAGCTCAGTGGATTGCTTTAAAAAAGGCCTGGATTCTTTTTTGGATATAGAGAATATAACTGGATACTAACATTCAGGGGTGGACTGACAACTCATGGGGCCCCCGGGCAATAGGGGATCATGGGGCCCCTGTGTCCTTGCCCAAACTCAAAAAAGTCTATGAAAAAGGTACCGGGGCATCTCATGGGGCCCCCTACTCACCCCGGGCCCTCGGGCAGTGCCTGAGTTTCCAAATGGTCAGTCCGCCCCTGCTAACATTTATAGGTAAAGTTGATCCAGGGAATATCCAATTGCTTCTCAGGGGATCAAGAAGGAATGTTTTCCCCTGCAGGAGCAAATTGGATCATGGTGGGTTTTTTGCCTTTCTCTGGATCAACTGTGGGTGTAGGATTATAACTTTTTTTCTTTTTTATGGATGAACTGGAGGGACTTTTGTCTTTTTTCAGCCAGACTAACTAACTGTAACGTGCTGCTGACCTGACCTGACCTGCTCCTACTGCTTTACTCTCTGCTAACCTAACCTCTGCCGACTCTGTGAGAATTACTCCTGACCTAACATCTGCATGACTTACTCCTGACCCGACCTCTACGTGATCTACTCCTGATCTGCCTTTTGTTCTATCTGCATGACTTACTCCTGACCCGACCTCTACATGATCTACTCCTGATCTGCCTTTTGTTCTATCTGCTTGACTTACTCCTGACCTGACCTCTGCTCTTTGGGCATTATTTACTTCGTGGTCTGACCTCTGCATGACTTACTCCTGACCCAACCTCTACGTGATCTACTCCTGATCTGCCTTTTGTTCTATCTGCTTGACTTACTCCTGACCTGACCTCTGCTCTCTCTGCATTATTTACTTTCTAGCCCTGACCTCTGCATGACTTACTCCTGGCCTGACCTCTGTTCTCTCTACATTATTTACTCCTGACCTGACCTCTGCTCTCTCTACATTATTTACTCCTGACCTGACCTCTGCTCTCTCTACATTATTTACTCCTGACCTGACCTATGTGTGACTTACTCCTGACCTGACCTATGTGTGACTTACTCCTGACCTGACCTATGTGTGACTTACTCCTGACCTGACCTCTACTCTCTCTGCGTTACTCGCACCTGACTTCTGGATTACGTATGCTTGACCCTAGCACTTGACTTCTACATTACTTATGCCTGACCCTGGCACTATGTGCAATACTTACTCCTGACCCACAGCAGCACAGGCTCACATTTTATTTAACCATACCCCTTTAAGCCTGTTCCGCTATTACTGCAATTTGGCCACACCACAAGGCATTCAAGGAATTTTGTCTTCATACATTAAATGTCTGTCTGGGGTTCCAAAAGTCTTAAACCAATTGTTTCCAGGCTTGTTAAAAATAGGGGTGTGATTTTGTGGGTGTGTTTTAAAAGAGAACATGGTGATTAGGGTGTCCTACTTTAATTTTGAAAATCTGGTAACCTTAGTCTACAAAAGCCTCAAAGCTAGCAACTCTAATGAAATTTCAACTACTTTTGATCAGACTATAAATTGACAACTTCCATACAGGTTATTGCTTAAAACCAATCAAAACCTTAAAAAATGGCAGCAGTTTTATTGAAAGTGCTCAGATTTTAATGCTAAATCTGATTGAATCAATTTCAATCCCTTCTTTTTGCAGTCAATCAAAACCAGGCATTTCTACATTTGACTTCTCAAAAGTGGTTGGAAATGCCAGAAAGTTGGTCAGCCTAAAGACCCAAAATGTATTCTATCCAAGCACACACGCTGGCTGTAAAACAAACTGGGTGCGGTAAAAAGGAATTGTTCTTAGTGTAAAGGGACATAATCTCTTGTGTAACTATTAGTAGTCTCAAGGTTCAGAAAGTGATCTTTCATTCTTGTCAGTAGGGTAAAGTACATCATACTTATTTGTATTTGGCTGGCTTGTGTGACTTTACTAATCATTTTGCCTGCTTTGCTTTAGAGGCTGAGTGATAAGCAGAGTTCTATATCAGTGAAAGCCAGCAAGAAAAAGGGAAGTGCTGGTGTGTAATCCTCCCCCTCCCAGTGCCTCATTTATAAAGGCATTGCCTGTGAAAACTCGTTTCAGTCTCTCTGCTTATCCTCCACAGTCAAAATGTCTACAACTGAAGAGCAACAACCAAAGGATACTTTCATGGCAGACATGAAGAAAAGGTTAGAAGAGGCCAGCAAGATGACAACAGAAGAGCTGAAATTTAGTTATAAGGGAATTCAGTACCCTACTGTTCTCTGTAGCAAGGAAACTTTTCAAGGAATGGAGAAAATGGAGGCTAGAGAAGAGGATGTGCTGATCATAACCTATCCAAAATGTGGTAAGTGTGTTGAATGTGAGAGTTTTGTTCAATAGGAATCTGTTTTTTGTTGTTGAACATCAGGCAAACACCTTTATACACACATACTTATAAACACATACTGTATATAGGAGGTATTTTACCTGCTAAAAAGGGTTTGTATTATTGTCTGTTCACTAGTGGGGTACCTTCCAGTGGGCACACGGGTCCCAAGATAAGTGTCCTATCACACACTGTACACTGGGAGTAATCCAATCCCCCACAGAACCGCCGATGAGCTGCAGCACCCTAAGCAATCGGGAAAGAAGAGGAAAATTTGGCAGCTGCAGGGGAGCCACAGGGGCATTTAATTGCATAAATAGATCCCCTAATGCTCCAGTCCCCTATACAGCCCCCCCTCATCGATTCCCTAGCAACCCCTTACTGCAGCGCTGCTAGCTGGCTCCCCTACTTTTCCCTCCTGCCAACTTTAGGTACTGCAGGGGAGCCCGAATCTCCAAAAAAATTCTCCAGAGACAAGCTCATAGGATAACTAGCTCCTATCTAAATTGGCCCTAGTATATGTATGTATGTGTGATAGAGACCTTTGATTGTAAGCTCCTTGAAGGCAAGGACTGATGTGATGTACAGTATATACAGTATATGTAAAATGCTGCATAAATTTACGGCACTATATAGGTACCTGGAATAAATTAATAATATAGGTCGGTTAGAGAAACCACAACAGTTGAGTAGTTTCAACACACAACCCACTGGTCAGGTACATTTTAACATGTTGCGTTTCAATTCTTTTAGAGGCAGCTGAATTTAATATTTTTTCTCAATGGTATGTGTAGCGCCACCCCCGAAAGAGCAGCTTGGTAATTTTGGGTTCTTTGTACTGCGTCTTGACTCCAAGAACAACCTCAGTCCCTCTGACACACCTGGTTGAGTGAAAATCACCGCAGGAACGAATAAAGCTGGCCATACATGGGTCGAATTCTTTCGAAAAACTTTTCTAAGAATTTTCGTTATAATTTCGTACCATTAGTGGGCCACATCAACGGCCAATTTTCAAGCGCTCATTGAATTTGAGTGATCAGACTTGTTGGAGATTTTTTGAAAAATGAATGAATTTTTGATCAATGATGGAAGAATCGTGTGAGAAATATAATTGAAAAAGAAATGAGCATGAGCTGTGACCTGGAAAGAAAAGAAACTTCTTGGCCACGAAAATTATTTTCTGTAGCAACATGAGGTGAAATTAAAGGCTTGGTTGGTTGAATTTCAAAATCAATGGTGGCACCATTGGATTACAAAACGCATTAAATTTCTGATTTTCTAAAGAAAATTAGTTTGGAATTCGGCCAATGTATGGCCTGAATAAAGACACCAGTGTAAAATACTCTTAACCCGGCTGTGGGTTACTACTAGTAAATAGACACACCCCTATTTAGTGGTAGCTAATCTTGATCTATTGATAAGGGTTAAAATAAATGGCAATTTAAACATAAATGAGAACACACAGGTAGATTATGTCACAGTCTGCTAGACAGAGTAATAACTGTGCCATAAAGCATATGTGGAGGAAAATAAATACTGCAGTAGATAGTGTTCTTTAAGCCTTATTAAATTATTTTTTTGAATTGGTACCTATGGGGCAGTGCCCCACATACACTTTTTTTTGCCAATCCCTTGGTTACTATCCTTAAAATGGAGAAAAAAATTATTTGGCAGATATGACTCCAACTGATTTCAGTGGGTTTGCAGTTGGCATCTGAACTTTTGATGTTCGGTTGAACCTCCGAAAACCAAACCCAGGTGTGTTTGGCTCATCCCTGATCCAAACAGGTAGCAAACTCCTTAATGCAATTACTCTAAATGTTTTAAAGCTCATGTTGATTGTCCAATATTATCATGCTGTTTATACAGACAGGTACAGTGATTAGTAGTTCTGTCACTAGGTGGGAGTGTTTAATGCAATGTTCTTCCTAGTGGAACTACATGTAAATAATGTAATTTTCTGCCTCTGTATTCCTATTGTTTTCCAAATAAAACCTCTTGACTAGCAAGAGTCATATCTGCATGTTCTAGTAACATAAACTCATTCTTGGTGTTATTCCTTCAATTTACACAGGCGAAGGTGTGAATTGTTGTCAAATTGCAGGGGGTTGAGATGTTAAATGCAGATTGACACCAAGGATAGGATTATGTAACTAAGACAGATGTTTCCACAACTTTCACATTTCCCATCCTGTTCTGGGACAATCAATATGTGCTTTAACACATTCCATGGTAATTGAACTAAGGTGTCTGTGCTACCCATGAGGATAAAAATGCTGGGGTATGTTTCCAGACATTCATTAGAAATTAGTAAGTGGCTTCAAAAAGCTACAAATCATTTTCAACATTACAGAACAAGTCCAGCTGATTGTGATTAGTTACTACTAGCTATACCATGACATGTGTAGAAAGATACATGCAGAGCTCCCTTACCAACCAAACTAAATAAAAAAATGCATGTAACATAAACACATAAAATCAAATGCATAAAATATTTGTTAAACCAATATACAAAAATACACCTCTGTGTAATAAACAGTGATCAGTAAAATGGAACAAAAGATGAAACATAATCAGTCTGTGAGAGTCCCAAATTCAGATTAATCTTCTTTAGTGCAACTCATACATCTTCTTCCAATCCGTGATTAAATCAATAATGACTACCTTTATGCAACTGTGACTCCCATCACCTTAATGATAATGCGCTCACCTCCAAAATTAGACTTACACTTACAAAATTAGACGTACGCTTACATATACTGTAATTTGAAATCAATGTTCCTTTAAGATAGGTATTGTGTACAGCTGCAACTCTCTCCTGCGGCTTCCGACACCCAGCTTCTCCCACGCGTTACGTCACCCCCCTAGTGACTTTATCAGGACCGTGACATGACTAACGAGAACATTCACAGACATGGATAGTGAATGCAGCGCTACCCCAGTAGCAGCCACTGATTAGGATGGGCCCTTTGTTCTTTGCCTCAACCTTTTCCCAAAAACCTAAGTCCCTCTAACACACCAGATTGAGTGTAAAATATACAATATCACAGGAAATCGCTGAAAGTAATACCGAGGGGTTTATTTACTAATGCTGGAGAGTGCAAAATCAGGTGCACTTCCGCATAGAAACCAATCAGCTTCCAGGTTTTATTGCCAAAGCTTATCTGAACAATCTGAGCTTAGAAGCCTATTGGCTACCATACACAGATGCATCAGATCCTGGGTGAACCAGCTTTAGTAAATCTCCCCCTTACTACCCAAAAAGAAAACAGGCACCAAACCAGGTAGTAAAGGCAAACTTAAATATATTGTCCCCCAATATGGTTGATAACTAGAGAAACATGGATTAACACTGGCAATAACACAATTTAGCATAAAAAATGATTACAGTAAGGATTAGGCATAAGATGTCATTTGGCATCCAGATAAGCATAAACAGTATCAAGGCCACCTCAAGAGCAGCAGTGGTAGGAAAGAGAAGTACAGCTGCAGGTACTCAAAAGAGCAGGATGTAGGCTGGAGGAAACACAATAATGTGGCAAAAGTGCAGAGACATGGCTTAAGTCTGGAAGTTCATCGGAGGATCCAAGAGTTCAAGGTTCACCAGAAACAAGATACAAGGTAAAGTTGTCCAAGGGATCAGTCAGGGAGCTGTCCAGCATCTCAGGTGAGATGATCTCAATGAGAAAAGCTACAGCCAGACACTGCAGAGGTCCCAGGTTCAGATCTGGACCCTAACACAGCTTTTCCAACAGTGGGCACCCAAGATCTGAGATACCAGTAGCAGTTTGCTGGTTCAGCACAATGATGATGCTACTTCCTGTAAGGAGGGCAATTGTTAGCCTGCTGCACAGACTTTGGGGGAGAGGAGAGTTGGGGCAAAGAGGTTGTGTGCTACCATAATGGGACCTATGCAAAAAGGAGGACAATGACAGCCTGACATGCTGCATGATCTGTGCTGCCTGGTGAGCAGTGCATAGAGTCTGAGAGGGACAGACTGGGGGGAATTATATTAATGTACAATATATAAGTAAAGCACTGCATAAATTGACAGCTCTGTATAAGTACTTGAAATAAATAGAATAAAATATTTATAATAATACTGTCTGAGACTCACTTGCAGCCAGTCAATTTTTAAATTACCATTTTCTAAGCTGTGTGAGGGAAAAAAAAGAAAGAATTTTGTTGGTTGCTATGAGCAACTGCACCAGTTGAGATAGAACTTGTCTCAGATGCGGTTTATTAACCACTTGTCTACCAAGGTACATTTATAAACAGCATGGTGACGTGGTTAAATCAAGCTCATAGCTGCTGTTGCCGCTGTATCTCAGTACTGGCTGTAATAGTTGGTGAAAGGCTTTCCGATAAAATGATCAGGCAGCGCTAGAGCTGCCTGAAAACTTTTAAGGGACTCTCAAAGGGACTCCACTCCTCTCCCCTGCCAGCAGCACCAGATGTATCTGCGGTGGTTCCTGGACTCTCCATTTCCTCCCTGGACCATGTCAAATAGCTTCCCCAGTGAGAGCAGGAACATCTATTTCCCGATCCCTCCTTCGACTAATAACCTCGAGGACCACAATTTTATTTTGTAGGGTTTCTGCTTTGAGATTGCAAAAAATGAAAAAAAAATGCCTTAGTAGGCAAGTGGTTAATTCTCCCCAGAGTGTGTAATATTTATTTATTTATTTATTTATCGTGTTTATATAGCGCCAAAGGGTTTGCTCAGCGCTGTACAATAGGGGGGGACAATACATGAAACAGAACAGTAACATCAAACAGTACACAAGGGGTTAGAGGGCCCTACTCTTTCGAGCTTACAATCTAGGAGGGAGGGGGTAGAGGCACCGGAGGAAGCGGCTGTGGGGGATGAAGTGGTAGGAGGAGGGAAGGGCAGCGGCTGTTAGGTGAGGGTGGGGTAATACATTTATTGAATGGGTTGTTGGCACTAGGTGTGAGCTGCCCATTCCAGGTATGCCACT